CCCGTCCCACCACCCTGCCAGCCAGCCAGCCCGCTAGTGTTGAATTTGCAGTTCACACCCAATCGTCATCCAACCGCCGGTCGTCATCGTCAATATCGCCGCCGCTGACGCCGCCGGCCCCAACACGCCGGTCCATCGGCCCCAGCCCCGCCGGCGACAGCGGCGCGCCCCCGCCCCCGCGCCCGGCCAGCGGGCTCGGCACCTGCTGCACAAAGCGCGCCCCCTGCCGGCTGTTGGGCTGGTAGCGGCGCGCCCAGAGCGACGTGAAGAACGCGCCCACTGTGTCCCAGTCCAGCTGGCCGTTCGCAGCCGACGCCCTCACACTTCTGATGTGGCCCTCAAGCTCTGCCAGGTCAGCAACTGACGCACCACCAGCCACAGTGGTGACGGGCAGCCCGCCGCCCGACGCGCCGCCCCGCTGCCACCGGCAGCCGAGCACCGCGCCGCACACGCGCGCGAGACGCCCGCCGCCGCCGGCGGCGCCCGGGGCGCCGCAGAGCTTAGAGATCGCGGCGTCGAGCGCGCCGCCGGCCGCGGCCTCGGCGGCGGGGGAGCGCTGGCGGTCTGTCTTGTTGGCGACAATGAGAACGGGCACGGGCAGGCCGCCAATGTTCCTGTAGAAGTGGGGCCGCGCGCGGTGCAACAATTGACGCTCAATGTGCAACACCAGCCGAGCCGGCAGCCGTGCGTGGGAATTGGCTTACCCGCTACAGCCCAGCCCCCTGCTGCACTGGCCTGTGCCGCCATGGTGTTCGCAGGCCTCCCTTGCGCATGTTGCCGTGCACACCCACGCATGCGTACAAACGTGTAATCACTGTCCCTATGAGCACGCGTACCTGGCAGCCGTCTCATCCGGGAACGGCGCCACAAAGCTGCCGTCAGCTGCCACCTCGGACGCCCATTTCGACAGCCGCCGCAGGGACGCCCTGTCGCTGCTGTCATAGACGAGGATCACGCCATTCACCTGTTTGTAGAGCGTCCGCCGCAGCTGCGGGAGGAGGCATGGGGCCAAGGCGGCGCGTCAGCTTTGGCGACCCATCGTGTTTCATGTGTCGGGGCGAGCGTCGCAGCTGTGTGGCATTTGAGCGACCAGGGCGACCCACCTGATCGTAATATGGGTTTGCGCTGACGTCCCATATCTCCACAAAGAACCGTTGATGTCCCCTCCCGCCCTGGGACGCCTGCTTCGCCGCGTCCCACGTCTGCACCAGCGACCCGCCGCTGCTCGACGCCCCTTCGTCATCGGCCTCCCAAAGAGCAACCGAGACAGCACATCCGGCGGTTGATTTGGGAGGTCTGGACGCCTTCTTCGTCACTATAAGCTCGGACAGTGCAGTCTTCCCGGCGTTCTGATCTCCAACCACGACTACGCGCACCGTCTGAGCGACGGGAGCCGACTCAGTGTAGGATTTGAGGTTTAGGAAAGAGACCATGTTCACTGACAGGAGCGATCCAGGCCATGTGGTCAGCGAGAGGATGCCTCGTTGTGAACAGCCGGTATCACAGGGTAAATAAATATGATGTGGAGGCCTTCTATCACATCAAAAGGACCACATGCCTCAAGTTCGTGATTGCGGCGACACCCTGGAAATTGGGAGGAGCCAATAGGCGCATCGTCAGGGGCTGCACTGCAGGTGCACTGTGACTCAGTGACTGTATGTCACAAGGCAGCGATGCAATTGCATGGTTTGCACGATCCTTGAACCCTGCATTGACCCCCTTCAAACAATGTGTAGCGACAAATCCTTCGCACCATCAGGCATGGCACCCTGGGTTGAGGCCACAGGTCCAGAGACTCATCAGAGACCCGCCAGAGCTGGTTGTGCAAGTGATCACGCGCCCCCGCAAGTTATCATGCGCAGCAGGACACAGGGCAGACGAGGACGGGATCCAACATTGTCATGCTTCGGCCCCCACTGCTGACTCGCTCTCTGCTCTCATGGCCATCGTCAACCCGCCTGCCATCATCCATTCTCACCTGAATTCATCACTTCACCCATTTCACCCACCCCAACCTCCCCTGCTGGGATGATGTATAAAGGGCAATTACAAAAAGCGAGGTAATCAGCCATGGCAGTAAGCTGCAAAAAGTTCAGCGAGTGCCTTGCAGCTCACAGTTGTGAGCGCGCGCATTGGCAGGCAGTGGCGGAGGACTGCATCTTGATTGAAACCTTATGAATGCAACTTGCGACGGGTTGGCTTTGATCACGACCACCGCACGCACATATTCTTCAAGATAATGAGACAGGGATGCCGCTTAAGTATTGACACAGTTCAGTGGCATCGCAGGATGTCCAGCTAGCAAACGGTTTTTTTTGTTGGACTGGTGGCTGTTCGAAACCTTCAGCAGCCGGTGTTCGCCGCCACCAGGAGCGGCTGCAAAACGGCCGCCACATCGCGAAGCTGCCAGCGACAGTCTCAAGGGTCCGCATGGGGGTGATGTTTGGGTGAGCACGGGGCGGGAGCCGCGCCGCCTTCTGTGGCGCTCGCAGTAACAGCGGGACATTCAAACACGCACAAAATCGCTGCGAGGCGTCCCCTCAAAATAGCGCGACAGTGTACTGAGGGTGCATCTGCAGATGCGGCAGCCTCATCAATAGTTGTTGTGAGCAGCAGCACAAGAGTAACGCGCGTGCTGGGTGCAGCACGCGCCAGCACGCTCCACGGATGTTACCATCACGGTGCAACAGCACGGGCCTCCAGGCGACCACCGCGCCGCGTCACAGGTGACCGCCCGACAAGGTGTAAGCCACGACTGCGACTGTCACCAGCAACAGAGTGATGAGCGCGCCGGCTATGGTCTTCCCGCCTCGCGGGTTGGCGGCCAGCCCTGTGGGACAGCAAACACAGGGTGCCGGTGGGGCGAGATCCGCGCAAGTCAAGGAACATGCGCCAGGCTGTGCTGTTGCGCGCACATGCAAGTTCCATTTTGGCAAGCCAAGCTTGCTCCGGAGTTCCTCCGCTGACACGTGCATGAGCGCTTGCTGGCCGCATGGGCCGCCCTGTAGCAGCTCAGCTGCAAACGTGCACACACTGCGTGCGGGACACCGCTCACCAGCGCAGCACGATTCGCAGGGCCATCGCTGTGCGTTGGGGCCGTGGGAATCCGCAGGAGGCTGGCTTTCAGTCTCCCACAGCTCCACTGGCCCCACACTCACAATCACCACAGCGTCGCTGTCGCCTGGCGCACATGCAAACGCTGTGGGCGCCTTCAGGCCCTTCCCCGGTCCATCAGTTTTATTTGATGGATGCATGCTCATTATGTGATCGGAGTCCAGTGAATAGCCGCTGCTGGTCACGGGGGAGGTCCACGGCAGTGACGAGAGGCTTGCTCGGGGGTCTACGGGTATGGGATCGCCTGGGTCCTAACGTCTGCCGCGCTTTGTGGAAGGTGCAGCAGTTATTTGTCGTGCAAGTAGGGATCGAGCGGCAAAAGCGTGTTCCATCCTGTGCAGCTGGGGGCGTGTAGTGCCGCACGGGTGACGCGCACGACTAACGTGCAACGGAGGCGGACCGCAGGACAGCTGCATGACATCCTGGACAGCAACACTGCACAAAGCTGTGACATCATCGTAACCATGGGGTGCGCTTGCAATGTAAAGCTCAGCATCTCGGCTCAACATGATGTACTGGTGAAGTTCTGGCGGGGCACAGCAGCTAAGGGGCCTTGACAGCTCTACAAGACAGCGCGGAAATGCATCAGTCTAGTCAAGAATGCACAGCTGTGGGACGTGCATCCCTGTGAGGGAGGGGTGGCTTTTGGGCCACGGTCAAACCTTGTGAATTCCTGGCGCATCGCGACAGGACCTGTGCTCAGCCAGCTCTCAGACCACCTGTAATGCAATAGTCATGGATTGATGCCACATCTGCTAGTTTTAATGGGCCAGGGGCAGCCCCAGCTTGGTTGCAGCACCCAATGCCGTTGGTCCCTGCGTCACCAGGTGACTGAGCACACCACATTGCAGTGCCCCGCCGGCTGTCCATCTGCCTACAGGGGCCTGTCGCGACTTGCCTTCAGTGCTTCGGTAACCTCGGCCACGCCCAGCAGCTCGATCTGTGCTGTCCGACGTCAACCAGGCGCGGGCTGTCCACCAAGCCTTCCGTGAGCCTGCCGGCCCCCTCAATCAGACACAAAGTTCGACTCGTCTACCGCAGTGGTCGCAAAATCGCGCCGTGCGCAGGCCTGTGCTACAAAGCAGTCTGGCAGCCAGTTCACACGCCGCCCACCACCGCCCGACAGCCCAGTCTGCTTGCATCGAGCGCTGCGGCCATGGCGCCCCTCGTCCTGTCTGAGCGTTACTCTAAGTACTTCCGCGGCAAGCACGTGCTCATCACCGGCGCGTCTGAGGGCGTCGGCGCCGAGATCGCCAAGATGCTCGCCGCCGCTGGCGCGCGCGCGACGCTCGTCGCGCGCACGGAGAGCAAGCTGCGCGCGATCGAGGCGGCCTGCGAAGAGGCGCGAGGCCAGGCGGCCGACGCCACGGGCGGCGCTGCGGGCGGCGCGGGGCGGGTTGCGTTCTCCGCGCCGGCCGACGTGACAGACGAGCCGGCGCTCGCGGCGGCGGTGGCGGCGGGCGTCGAGGCGCTTGGGCCGGTCGACATGCTGATCACATGCGCGGGCGCGGCCGAGTGCTGTGAGCGGCAAA